AAAGCTATGGGTGTAGAGTCTACTAGCGTCTATTAGTGTAGGAACTAGAGTCATTTTCCCATCCGTCTGTGAAATAGGATTGTACTATTAAATACTATAATACCGCCTATTAGCTGCAAATAGTTTAACTTGCGACATGCAAAAAACAAATCAGGAAAAAACACGGTTTTGATTTTACCTTTTTGTAGCCTACTACACCCTAATAATTACTGACTGACTAGTAGTAATTGTTTCAGACAAATAAAATGATATACTTAACTAAGATAAAACACTCCTACTYGTTTTTTAGATATCATGTTACAACACTGATGTTTTATGCATGAGTGTTATAACTAACTGAATCGGTTAATTATAAAACTCATGTTTAATTAATCAGTATTTGTAACTTGAGTTATAGATTCTGTCATGTGACCCATAGTTGAATGCTCATTGGAAGAATGTCTAATGAATAATTCATGAGTTTTAGAAGTATACTTACAATCCTTCCTACAATGATATTAATTACCGGTAATCAGAATATTTACATAATCAACATTAACTATTTGTAGATGCAGATGACTCCTTGCATGTGGCCRAAGTTGACATCGAAGTTGATAAAAAGCCAGCTAAAGTAGCAAGTAAGAAGCRAAAAGTCTCAATTGAAGACATCAATGAAGTGCATTTAGAGGTGGTCAAGTTGGAAAAGGAGAAGCTGCAGTACGAAATAGAAAATGTATTGTTAGCAAAGAAAAAGCTTCTTCTTGAGATTGAAGAAATTGASATCAGAAAATCAAAATTATTGCATGAGAGTTAGTTATGTTGTAACTATAACTGCTCTGYTTTTCATGTTGTATAGTGTTTAATAAAAATGTACACTTTACAAATATGCAATAATTTTGATTTTCTGATATCATTTCTTTTCCTTTTGCATGGTCAGCAATTATACTGATCAAAAATCTTAAGAAGACTAAGTTTTTTCTTTTACTAACAATACATTTTCTATTTCATACATATTGTTGTAAATATTTTATTGTTTTGATATATATGACCAAATTTCATAATTGGCACTGATCGTTTTTATCATTGGATTTTGATACATTTTGAAATAGCACTGCAGGCTGATATGAAGTAMAAAAATCCATGGACAAGAATTTTAATAACTTGAGAA